AAAAAAAAAAAAAAAAAAAAAGACCCAAGTAGGACTAGGGAAACAGCTCAGCAGTCTAAGTACTGACCTGGCAAGCACAAGGACCCAGGTTCAACCCCTGTTATCACATGCTGTGCCAGCCCCAGAAGCCCGGGTGCACTGTTTGGTGGCACACACCTGTAATCCCTGTGCTGGGGAGGCTGAGGCAGGAGGATCACTACAAGTCTGAGCAGCATAGTGAGACCCTGTACCACATGAATGAATGAATGAATGATTAAAAAAATAAAAAGACCCAAGTAGGCAGGCATGGTGGTGCATGCCTATAACCTCAGCACTCGGGGCACTGAGGAAGGAGGATCATCATGAGTTTGAGGCCAGTTGGACTACATAAGACATTTAAGGCTAGCCTGGACTACCCAATGAGACCCTGACTCAAAAAAAATCAAGCAACTAATTATTTTGTACAAAGAAAGAAGATACCTTGAGCACACCTCAGGATTCAGCAGGACTCTACCCACTGCAGATTCAAGGGTGCAAAAGTATTAACCTTTCATTTGAGAAGTGAGTCTCCAGTACTACTGCTGGAGAACTCCTCCTTGAACTGGTTCCCCAGAATTCATTTCATGTTTAGTTATACAGTTACTCAGAAGTTTAGGCAGCCATGGTCCAAGAAACAGGGCTTGGCCACTGCTTCCACTGACAGTGGGCCTTGTCATCGTTCACATGCTATTGATTTTACTGGCATGAGGCACACAAAAGTGGGGACAGGGAAGCTTCCACTCAGATTTCAAAGAAAGCCCTGGAAGGCCAGACAAGGACTCCAAGATGCCAGTGCACAAAGCTCTGGAAATAAAGTGAAGGATGCAGTGGGCCCCCCAAGAACTCAGAGTTCCCAGGAAAGTGGAAACAACTGTGTAAGAAGCTGTAGAGTGAAGCACAAGAAAGAACACATTGTCTGTGTCCACCAAGGCCACAGGGAATGTGGCCACCCAAGCCCTTCAGAACTCACATGTTACCACCATGTGCTCTGGAGCTACAGAACATAGTATCTGCCCTGCTCGAGTTCAGCCTTGTTTTGGTCCAGTTCTTCTCTATCCCCTTATTCCTCCCTTTGTAAGAGTGAATG